GTTTTGACTCATTTAATTCGACACACCTAGCCCGTGAACCCACCTAACCCGACCCACCTGGCACAACCCAGCCCGCACGGCCCACCCGCACGAATGACCCACCCAACCCGCACGAGCCAACCCACCTAACCCGCACGCATGACCCACCCAACCCGCACGCATGACCCACCCAACCCGCACGGCCGGCACAACCCGCACGGCCCGCACAACCCGCACGGCCCGCACAGCCCGCACAATTCGCACGACCCGCACGGCCCGCACGGCCTAACATCCATTTTAAAAAAAAAACGGCTAGTTTTTTGTATCTAACGGCTAGTTTTTTGTATCTAACGGCTAGTTTTTTAAGTGTATGATCATCCATTCTATTTTTCCTATAAATACCAATTCCATTTCACTCAAATTTCCACACAAATTCAAGCTTTCTTTCTCTCTTACTTAAAAATTCTTATTGTTCTCAAATTCTCAAGTGTTATATAGAGTTATATTTTTGTTAAAAAAAATCTCCTTAATATTATTATTAGTATTCTTAAGATTCTAAAAAAAAAAAGTTCTTCTCCATATTATAATTAGTAATCATACAAAAAAAAAATGAGCTCAAGAGGAGGAATGGGAAGGAGTCAAAGTGGTGGTCGAAGTGGTAGCCAAAGGAGTGGTGGTGCAAATTTTTCGTATGAAATTAATACGGAAAATTTAAACCAATTTGTCAATGAATATGGAGATTATGGTTTAGGAGATAGGCAAAATATTCAAACGTCTCCACCACAACATTTCTCCCACGAGTCCCACCAATCATCAAGTTCAACTATGGCACCTCCATCGCAACCAACATCTCAACCTTCATCTCAAGGTAATTTCTAATTAAATTTTTATTGTTATGAATATTTAAAAAAACTATTATTAATGATTATAAAGTTAGTTTAGTTTCCAATTTTCTATGATTTACAATTAGTTAATTACCATGAAAAATGCGTTTAAATAAGTATAATTAAAATATTTAAAATTTAAAAGCTTATTTTCATGAATAGCATTTAAAAATTAATTTTAATAATTTGATTTATGAAAGGTGGTGGCGGTGAAAGTAGAGGTCGAGCACATTTTTCTTGGGTGTGGAAACATTTTGAACGAGTTGAGGTCACACCCCCGGGATGGCAACCTGGTCAACCAAAGAGGTTCACGTGTACATGCCTAGTTTGCAAGGCGCTAGGTGCAAATGTCAAGTCATATAATTGGAAAACGGGAGATGGAACCGGAACCTTGAGTCGGCATTTGCAAAATAAACACGACTTGTTCGAAAATGGCCCCCGTCCTTCGGGGGGTGGCGTCCAAACACAATTGGGTGGATACATGAACCAACCCGGCGGAGGTACACCTTTCATTTATAATAAAGATAGAATGATTGATGAAATGAGTACTTTAGTTATTGCTAATGAATACCCTTTTAGTTACGGTGAAAATGCAAACGTTGAGCATTTTAATAAAGTTGCATTACAACCTGCATTTACTCGTGTCCCCCGAAATACCCTAAGACGTTATACACAAACTTCTTATTATAAGTATAGGAGTGGTTTGATTGAATTATTTCGTACTTTTGATGGTCGTGTTAGTTTTACAAGTGATACATGGACTTCTAGTTTTGGCGAACCTTTTCTTTGCATTACTGCTCATTGGGTGGATGATGATTGGTTTATTCAAAAACGTATACTATGTTTTCAAGCTATGGAAGAAAGGCATACCGGTTTTAACATCAAAGTTCGTATTTTGGATTGTTTAAAAGAATTTCACTTGAATAATAAAGTTTTTTCTTTGTCTCTTGATAATGCAACTGCAAACACAAAGTGTATTGACTATTTGAAAAATGACTCCGAGTTGAATTTGTTGTTGGGTGGTAGTCTCTTGCATGTTAGATGTTGTGCTCATATTTTGAATTTGTCTGTTCAAGAGGGTCTCGCTGAGTTGCAACCATTGCTAAACCCAATTAGAACAGTTATAAAATGGATTAGGATTACTCAGTCAGTTAGAAGAAAGTACATAGCTATGTGTAAAGAGAGAGGTCTTAAGAAAAGACAATGGTCTATTGATACCCCTACCCGTTGGAATTCTACTTTCAAGTTGTTGAGTGATGCTATAAAGTATCGTGATATTTTGACCCAACTTTACAATGAGACTCGTGTTGATCCTACTGAGTTAATAACCGAAAGTCATTGGACTAATGCTTCTTTTGTTCGTGATGTTTTAAATGCTTTTGATAGTGCAACTCATATTTTCTCTTATATTTATGAGCCTAACGTTCATTTAGTCATAATTGAGTGTGTTAAAGTTGTTCACACCATCGAAGAGCATATGAAGATTGATGGACTTCGTCCTGTTCTTGATAGCATGAAACGTAAGTGGCATACTTATTTTAGTGAATTTCCAATCATTTATGGAATTGCTGCTATTCTTGACCCCGGTGTCAAAGCTGAAGGTTTGGAAAATCTTTTAGAATTTTATTATACAAGTTTAAGTATCGATTATGATGTTAGTGAATATATTAACAAATGCAAATCTGTTTTGGGAGACCTTTATGATCATTATGCATCTATTTATGGTTTTGATTTGGCAACACCAACTACTACTAGCACTTCCGATTCTAGATTTGGTTTTCTTGATAAAGTTATGAAAAAAAAACACAAAGCATCTACATCATTCTCATCATCATCTTCTTCAACACTTGCTATTAATGATTATTTGTCATATCAACATGAGACCAACAACAACTTTCAAATTATAAAATGGTGGCAAGAACATAAAAAAAGTTTTCCTATATTGGCGAGAATTGCAAAAGATATACTTGCAGTTCCCGCTTCATCTGTTGCTTCCGAGTCTGCTTTTAGTGCAGGTAGAAGAGTGTTAGATGAAAAAAGATCTCGCTTAACTCCGGAAAGCATTCAAATTTGTGTTTGTAAGAAAGATTGGGATCAAGCTGAAAGAAGAACTCAAGGTTTAAAGGAAGACGAAGACGATGAAGATGATCCTGTGATGATATTGGAGTCGTCAATGGATGATGCAGCTTCCGGGGATGATGATGCAACAAACATGGGTGGCTAGAAAAGTCTAAATCAGGTACGCTAAGAACTACGTGGGCTTTGATTCTTTCGGGATACGTAGGCAACTTATTTTTCGAAAATTACAATTTAATTGCAAAATTAAATTTTAGTTTTCTAAAGATAGGTCCAAGCCCCCCCCCCAAATTTCAAAAGAAGTACAATATAAGAACTACGCTGGCTTTGATTCCTTATTTCATAATATAAGGATACGTAGGCATCTTAATTAAGAGCAAGCCATCAAATTGTTAATTTTGTAAAAATTAAAACACCACACAACCCACCCGACCCTAACCCACGAACCCACCCGACCCTAACCCACAAACCCACCCGACCCTAACCCACCTAACCCACAAACCCACCCGACCCTAACCCACTAACCCACCCGACCCTAACCCACCTAACCCACAAACCCACCCGACCCTAACCCACTAACCCACCCTTCGACCCACCCTAACTCACTAACCCACCTTGACCCGTCTAACCCACGAACCTAGCTCGACCCACCCATGACCCGTCTAACCCACAAACCCAGCTCGACCCACCCACGATCCGTCTAACCCACAAACCCAGCTCGACCCACCCACGACTCGTCTAACCCACGAACCTAACCCTGGTGTGTCCAACTTCTCCGACCCAACCCACGACCCGGCCCACCCTACCCTACGTGTGTCGTGCCGTGTGTCATGAAACCCCAACCCGCGACCCACCTAACCCTAACCCAGCTCGCACGACTCGCACGGTGGACACCTCTACTCGTCACTAACGCCATTTTCGTTCTCCTCTACCATTTTCAAGCTCAAATCTTATCAATTCAACGCGAATTTTCGAAATTCATTTTGCTGAAACTCATCATCGTCTTGAAATCTACAATTTGAACCCAGATTTGTGTAATTTTTCGATACAAATTATGTAAAACCCAGATTTGTACCATTTTCGTTTTCCTCTACTCCATTGACGCGGATTCTGTGCTTTCCCTACTCTATTAAAGCATCTTCTGAGGTAAGATATTTTATATCTCTCTGTTTTGTAATCATTGAATTTCGATTTCATTATCTAGGGTTTATCGTTAATTCTTAAATCGAACTCTTTACATTTTACTTTACCAGTTCTTCAATTTTGAAGTTCTTCTATTGCAAATTGAAGTGAAACAGATTGATTGTTGGATGTGCCAGAAATTTTGCATAGATTATGGTTAATTTTGCAGAAATTTTATTAATCAATTTATAATTAGTTTAATTTTGCGATTTTAGTTGAATTAGATTTCTAAATTTTTTTTTTTAATCTAGCTTGTTATTTTTAGAATGTGTGTAAACTAAAATTCAGTATTTGTGATTTGTTGAATGATTTTAGGTTGATTTTCTTTTTTGTTAACTTTCAATAAAGTTTGATTGATTTTGTGTTCAATTTTGAGTGAATATCAGTAATTTTTTTGAGAATTTGGTTAAGTTGAGAGATACGGTGAGAAGGTGATGTTTGATTGTCCAATTTTGATACTCCATTGAAGCAGTTTCTGATGTTTGATATTACTATTTCTGGTTTTTCTTTTATTTTAAATCAATTAGATTAAAATGTGTTAAAGTAAACTAAAATTATGAAAAAGTAAGCTAAAATAGTGCAAAAGTAAACTACTTCCTCCGGTTTCGGTTATTTGCAACAATGGTACCGTTTACGGATACCAATGCAAAACTTTTAGGAAGTGTTTAGTAGTGGAAAATTGGGTAGTGGGGTAGGTGATTAATAAATTAAAAATGGAGGGAAAGATATTCTAATTTTATGAGGAGAGAGGAAAAAGAGACACATGTGGTCCCAAAATTTCAAATAATTGGGGGTATTGTGGCCCCAATTATTTTGGCACCATTTTTTCCCCTTAAAAATTTTTTCCCTCCTGTTTTTTCAAGTCAGTCACCAAACCCCTTAAAAAGCATCGAAATTTTTTTTTCCCACCAAATCCAAATTTACAAAACCCATTCAAATTTTCCTCCCCCCTTTAAATTTTTCATTCAAAAAGGGGGTATTTAAAGCTACCAGAATAACAGTTCACAAATATTCTTTACAAAATAGTTGTCCTTCATTCCAGACAGAAAAATCAGTCCCAAAATGAATGTTCTGGCTAAATTCCAGACATAAAAATCTACAGTACTAAGTTAGTTGCAGCTTCATCTTCTTCTTCCCTGGTTCAGTAACAGCAACTCAGTCAAAAAAAAGCCCCCACACCTCATCACCAGTACCTGACAACTGGAACTTAGTAAAATTAGTAATCTGAACATGTCAGATTATGCAAATAATCCATATTTTGGCATTGATCAGATGCTGAACGATGAAAACAGTATGGGACAAAGTCAAGCAAACCACCAAGAAGGGACTAAACTGAATGACAGCAACAACAATCGGCATGAGGATTCATTTTAGGAACCAACAGCTAGAAAACAACTGACTACTCAGCAAAAAAGGGAGCTGGTAGATGGTTTTCTACTGAAGTTAGAGGGGGGGGGGGAGTTGCCCAGAGGGTACTTATCAGAACAAGCAAGAAAATTCAATGTACACAGGTCAACCATCCTGAGATTATTTACAGACATCAAAACACAAATGGCACAGGGCAATGTCATAGATGTGAGAAGCAAGAAACTGGGCAAAACAGGACCCAAACCCAGAGAGTACACTGATGAATTCCTATAGTCAGCACCATTGAATAAGAGGACAACAGAGAGAAGCTATGCATGTGCTCTCAAGATCTCACATTCAACCATCCACAAGCTAAAGAAACAAGGCAGATTGAGAACACATACAGCAACAAATCACCCAACATTGACATCCAATCACAAAATAGCAAAAATGAAATGGGTGTTAACTCATTTACTGCCAGCCACTCAGAATTGGGATTGCAAATTTGTGGACATGCAAATTTGTGGACATGCAACAAGTTTTTTTTCACATACATTACATAACTGGTTCCCTCAACAACAACTCTTATATGGAGTTGTTGGAGCAATTCCTAGTTATGAATGTTAAGTGTCAAATGAGTCCCTTCATCACTTGGATTTTGCAGGCACATACAACACAACACACTGAGGGACTCTATTCACCTAGGGACAGGTATCACATGGGGGGACTCATACAGGGACACTCATGCAGGCAACCAATTGGTCATTAGTCTGTGCACCAGCCTCAGGACAATAAACACAGCATAAACAGGCCAACCACCTTCCCACTATTTTTTAATTTTATTTAACCATCCCAACCACCAAGCAAACCACACACAAGAATCAATATCATGCAGAGCATGTCAACCAGCAACCAACAGAATTCCTCACAGGTGAGGATGCACAACAAGCCACCAATACATCCAACAACTACATACAAATTATCTGCACCAGCCTCAGGACAACAAGCACAGCCTACACAGCCCAACCAGTTTTCTACAATTCTTAATTTTTTTTTTTAAACATCCCAACCACCAAGCACACAACTAACCACAAAGAATAGCAGACAAAGCATGAGTAGGTCAACCACCAGCCAACAGAATTCCAAACAGGTGAAGATGCACAACAAGCAAGCAATACAACCAACAACATACAAATTATGTGCATCAGCCTCAGGAAAACAAGCCCAACAACCATCCCACTCAATTCCCACAGTTACTAGCAATCAATCTTAATTTGGATACAGAGCAACCAGCATGAAATACCAACAACACATATACTAGCAATCAATCTCAATTAGGGCAACCAGCATGAAATACCAACAACACAGTTACTAGCAATCAATCTCAATTAGGGCAACCAGCATGAAATACCAACAACACAGTTACTAGCAATCAATCTCAATTAGGGCAACCAGCATGAAATACCAACAACACATATACCACATACTTAATACGGAAATAAGCACGAAAATCAGGCTACTCAACGCAAATTTTTCAAAGAATGCCACATCAAATCAAGAGAAAAATCAAAAACCATGAGATAAAGGACTGAATAAGAAGTAGGTTAAGAAATGCGTCACGCTGCTAGATTAGTTGGTGGTAGTGGTGAAAGGGTTGCAAGACCCTGCACTTTCAACACTGTAAGCCTTAGGGACTCAGATCTGACGCGCTTTTTTCCAGAGAACTCTTGCGTAGTCTTAGATCTGACCACTCCCACCTCCTCCGTAACGGATCTGGCCTGGACAGGGGTTGCAATTGGGGTTTCATCATCATCGCTGTCAAGAACAACAATTTCAGGAGGCTTATTGACGGAAACCTCAACGTCTTTGCCCAGATCTGGACCATGCTCCTCATCGGAGACTTTGTGTGTCAGCTTTGCACCCCCTCCAATTCGACGTTTCATATCAAGGTACATTGCAGTGCGCGTACCTATCAAACGCATCCTCCCCGTGCGTAGGTGGCACTTGTAGGTGGCAATAACGTCAGGATCTTCCTTTTTTTGGTTAGGGGAACTCATTTTTCAGAAATTTTGGAAGAAATAGGTAGTGGAAAACCCAGATCTGCCAATTTTAGGGTTTCAAAATGGAGAGAGAGTGAGTTAAAGAAGGAAGTTTCTGTGAGAACACTGAGAGTGAAACAGCAAAAGACGAAAACAAGGAATAAGTGGTGTAGAAAGGGGGAAGAACGAGGATTTTGAACAGTCGCCATTAATGGTGGTGGGTAGAACTTGCATTAAATATGATGGTTGGGAAGATGAACACTGAGAGGGTAAATGGGATGGGATGGGAACCCTAAATTTTTGGTGGGAATGGTTATATTAATTGGGTGGGTATTAAATTTAGGTAAGTAGAGTTAATCTTGTGATTAGATTATAATCAGTTTTTTTTAAGGGCATTACCGTAATTTGACAATTATAAAATGTACCAAATATTGGAAAAAAAATCTATTTGTTGCAAATAATAGCAAACACCCCAATAAGGTAAATGTTGCAAATAACCGAAACCGGAGGAAGTATATATATTTCTCTAAAAGTATAATATATATTTTGATGCTCACCAAATGTTTGATAAAATGCTACAACGTAGTATACTTGTTGGATTTACTTCAAAATAACGTGAGTGTAAAGTGTAGTACATAATTGTGAAAGGTTGAAGGAAATTAACAATTGCTTGGTACTGACATTTTATTGTGAAAGGCTGAAGGAAATTAACAATATGCGGCTACTGCTTAGGAGCAGAGATTGTTGTAAAATTCACATGACTCAATGGCTGATTGTCTAAATGAAGCTGTGTAAAATTCAGTGCAATCTGTACATGTTAAATAATATGGACATAGGTTTGAGATTTTGAGTTATTAGGGCTCAGAGATACTGAAATGTATGTAATGTGTGGTATATTGAATGGTGTGTAGGTGGTATCAGTACACTTTGCATTCAGATAGTTGGATAAGGCCATGTTTCTATATGCTTGCTTTTTTATCTGTATGTTGTGGCATTGATATGACCTTGAAATTGGGGAGTGGTAACTGTGATAAGCACAAGGCTTGAAGAGTTAAGGCTTAAGTGACCCATATTTATCTTGCAATGGTCAACTCAACTTCTATGGGTTGTGACTAGTAGGAGTGATAGTGTTTATAATGGCAACAATCTGATATTTTCTTCTGTTTTTGAGCAATGTTGCGCACTTGCGTTCATTAATTTTACTGACAATACTTCTTAATGTATGTAGATATCACTCAGAAGAACTTGATGTCTCTGGCTGCAATTGCTGATGCTCAACCTCACAGATGGCAACAGTACCTGCCCAAGTATGCTTGCTTAAAACATCATGTTTAAATATTTTCAATGTAAATTTAATAGTTAGATTATCGATTATGCTTTAGATTGTTACTAGGTATACTAAAACCTATTAGCTCAAGTGGTAGAGTACTATGCAAATGCATAGGGGATGTAGGTTCAATTCCTACATAGGTTGTCTCTAAAACTAAATGAAAAACGCTCAAAGTAAATTAAAAAACATTGAAGTAAATGAAAAACACTCAAAAGTAAATAAATCAAAAACAGATGAGGTGAACTGGAATTGCAGGAACTGGAACTGCTCTAGATGCTTGTCTTCTCACAAAGCATCTAAAAATATTCGGTGACATTCAATGGGAGATAACAAGCAAGGTTTGGGTGGAGCTGTTATGTGATGCTGCTATGCTTTGCTCACCCAAGTCCCATGGCGTGCAATAAAGCAGAGGCCGGGAATTCTCACGTTAGTGTGGCTGTTAATAGCTCATCTTGGTTTACATTGGGTTTGAAAATACAAAAGATGAATAAGGTTGGAAAATGTAGATTCCTATAGTAGTTGTCTAAAGTAAATAAAAAAGTTTTTAAGTGAATAAAAAAGACTCTAAAGTAAACCTATTAGCTCAAGTAGTAGAGCACTATGCGGGTGCATAGAAATGTAGGTTCGATTCCTACATAGGTTACCTCTAAAAGTAAATATAAAATATTCTAAAGTAATTCAAAACATCTCAAAAGTATATCAAAATAGCTAAAAAGTAAATCAAAAGTAAAAAGTATGTACTTAAAAGTAAATAGTATTTACTTAAAAGTAAATAATATTAACTCAAAAGTAAATAGTATTTACTTAAAAGTAAATTATATCTACTCACAACTATTTAGTCTAAGGTGCACATTGCTAAAAAGAAAAAGCAGGGTATTAGTAAATAAAATATTTTTAGATAAGTGACCTTGAGTTTCTAGTAATAAAAGTAGATACAAAATAAGTTAAAGTAAATAAAATATTTATTAAAGTAAATAGAAATTAAATTCACCTTCTCTACTTTTAAAATAAGGAAATTGCTATGAAGAAATGCTTATTGACAATTTCTAATTGCTATGAATGCTTAAATATCTAGTATAAGTGATGGAACCTTCTGTCATACCTTTAATCCTTGGATAAGTGAGCTTGAGTTTTTAAGTAATAAAAGTAGATAGAAAATAAGTTGAAATAAATAAAATATCTCTTAAAAGTAAATACAAATGAACCTACGTGGGATTTGAACCCACATCTTTTGTGCATTTGCACAATGCTCTACCTCTTGAGCTAGTAGGCTAGTGAATATAAAGTTGACAATAATAAAATGAGCAAAGACAACATCAACAACTTCAAAATCAGTTGCTAAGACCAGAGGAAATTTCCAATTTAGAAGCCTTGGAGGTTCTAGAGAGACGAGTGATCCATGTTTCATGAGAATCTACAAATGGAAAGTTGAGAGGGTATAGACCTTCAATTGATCACAGACCTCTTATTGCTGCCTCGTATATCTATAGCCGAAAATGAGAATTGTACAACTTTCTCAGTAGCGACCACAACTAAGTAGTGAACATAAGGAGATATTGTAGTCCTACAAGAGAAAATAAGAGCCAAAGTCTTACACTTCACGCATACCTTGTTTTGTCAGATAATAATACGCATTCAAATGCAATATTACTGAAGCATCTAAGCACGTGCTACCGGAAACAACTTCCTCTCATAAAACCCACACAAATCAAAGACTCGAGGCCATGGCAAAATAAAGTCATCAACAAGACATGATTGATTTTATTGAAGTTAACAATAATAAAATGAGCAAAGACAAGATCATACCTTCTTCCCAAGCATCACAAGCCTCAAAGTAACTTCAGCAGTAGTGTTGGTTGCAAGCAGAACATCAGATATTCTGCTAGTTACAAGTCCTTTTTGAAATCTTGAGTGACATGAGTGTGTGCAACAACAACAATAAAGCCATCAATATGACAATCTAACCGATAGTCCCATATAGCTGCAATGAAACACTCATCCAATTCTCAGTAATCAATAGACAAATACCAAAATTTGCAATACATTTGTTGTTCTACCAGACGATAGCCCCACACAACAACTTTACAACGACCATTAACCAGCAGCATGACATAAACCCTTTCTTTCTTTCTAAACCTTGGTTGCTTTGATATCCTACCATAACAATGTCGTTCAAACTTACTGCTGAATAACATTCTGTGATTATGACTTTATTTAGAAAAATGCACATATAATATCTCTAACATAAGCAGAAAATCAGCAAAGCTCCAGAATCAATAAAGATATTTTAATTAAAAGTAAATAAAATGATATAAAAAGTAAATAAAACCTCTAAAAAAATTCATAAACAAGAAATCTTGCAAGCCTGTGACGCAAAATCCCCCAAGTTTAACAAAATCAATTTCTGAAATTCACTCAAAAACTCAAGGAAAACAACTCAAATATCAAATAAATACCTGATAAACACATAATACTGATGAAGAAAATTGATCCAAATACTCGCCTTAAATTAATTATGATAAACACAAGATTCAATCGACATGGAAGACACTAATTGAATCAAAAACGTTAAATAAAAAAAACGCTAATTGAATAAAATACGCAAGCCCTAATTGAAAAAAAAAACAAAGAAAAAAAATGCAAATCCTTCATATATCAATCGAAATCACAAATACACAAATAAATAATCAAGAAAACCCTAAATTTCGCAAACAAAATCACAAATAACTTGTTACAAAATCGAATAAAATAATGATAACGTAAATCAAATCAGAACAACTTACCACCCCATAAATTTGCTAGAGTAATGAGCAAAGATGAGAAATTGGGAATTTGAGAAGTGAGGATGTGCGAAGATCAGGACAATCACAAGAGAGAGAATTTGCAGGAGGAGAGAGAAAACGAAATGAAGATAGATAAAGTGAAAAGAGAAGCAGGGAAAATTTTAGGGTATTCATTCAAATCCTATAATTACCATTTTACCCTTAATGAAGCGGGTAAGATGACAACCGTTAGATGATGCGTGATGGACGACTGAGATCAGTTCTTAATTCCTATTATTCGACATGGTTCTCACATGATCTCAATCCAATATATATATATATATATATATATATATATATATATATATATATATAAGAAAATGCAAAGTTACTATTTATATCTTTATCCACCTTTCCTTTTTTTTTTCTCTTCTATTTCTTCATCTTCATCCTTGACCTTAAAAGTCATGTTTATTGGGTTTTCTTTTTCCTTTAAGGCTTACGTTGTTTATTTTAGGAAAATGTTAATAATATTTTTATTTTTTTTTTGAAGGAAAAAAATGTGAATAATATTCTTACTATGTTAATTGGCATTATTTTGTTTACCTTGTTTTCCATCTATTTTGTCTCATCTGCATTCTTTTAAGTTAGGGAGAGTGTTAGCTCTAAAAAATAAAAAGTTAAATAATACTAATCTACTAATTACATTTTAATGTTTTAGTTTGTAGAACGTAAAAACTAAGAATAATTCATTATTTTAGAACTCAAAGTATGTAAAACTATTGCGTGTAATCTGAGAATGAAAATAAAAAAAATTATTATGTTTTCAAATGTGTTTTTTGTTTTTTTTTCTTTATGCACCAAGTATGGTATTTAAAATTTCTCATATGAGTCGACTAAATATATTTTTATCATAGACTATACTTGCTCCCATATTTGTCAATCAAATTAACATTTTTTTCTCTTACAAACTTTTCCATAAAAGTCTACGTATCAATTTTTTCACCTGAATACCCTCGAGGTTTTTAAAAATTAACTTAATGCCCTAGCAATTTCCAAAATTCACCAACCATCCCTGAGTTTAATATATCTTCACCAAATGCCTTTAATGACTAACAATTATTTACTCCACTAGTCATTAACCCTTAGCTAACCCATTAACCCTTAATTAATTTAAGGGATATACTTCAAATCACATGCACTTGTTTGCAAGCTACGAAAATTGGTCAATTAAGGTATTAGGAGTCATTTTGGGTCATACTGATCAAAATTGGATACAATAAGAAGTATCTCAAGTTGCGTCCAAGGAAATGTCTCTGTGTGTGTGATATAGCTTTCGACCCACAATATTGCTGGATTCAGGCTTTGAGGGCTAATTGGTTCTTAAGGGCCATATTCAAAGTCGAAATTGGCAACAAATTAAAGCGACTGAAAATATCTCAGTTTGTGTGACCAAATAAAACCCTGATGATTGAAACAAACATCACCGCCATATGGTTTCGGTTGCATGTTAATTAGATTAGAGGATTGCTTTAAATTTCTTAATAGACCAAATTTCCTGCCAATTTTCCTTTTCTAGTTAATTACCTTTTTTTCTTTTTTTTTAAGCCCAATCCCCTTTTCTTATTAGCGTTTTATGTTAGACAAATATTTTATTATATGCCATATTTTTTACACGAGCCCAGTTGGAATAAGAGTCTAATACCGACCGAATTAAAACTACTCCAAACTCCGAAAAAGATATAAATCCATCTAAAAATTAGTTCACAACCAAATTTTATCTATTTCTAGATCTACCATGAGCAGTTGTACATACCTGGTTGTAACACCTCAAATCTCCTTCAATGGAAATACTGGTACAATACGTATAATTATAACGGCTTAGGCGTATTACCGCCACGTGAGAAGGCTAACTTAAAACTCAAACTCATTAGAACTTGCATTGGAAACCAACTCTTACTTTGTAATACTTCAAAAATCTAACCATTATTATGAGTACTCAAAAATTAAATGCAAAACATCAAAAACCCTAAACTAGGTTAAATTATTACCGCGATCCTAAATGCGCATATTGACTCTACCTGAAAATTCACAACTGCTTACCAACAAGGCAAACTGGGAATACCAAAACAAAACAAAAAGTACGGATTAGAAAAATATGCCAAGTACATATATATAAGTGCAAGATATGTAGATTCACATTATTCGCAAACATGCTTTCAAAGATTCAATCATGAAATTCATAATACTTCCTTTGATTCAAACCTTTGAATAAATCTTTTTAAATAACTCAATTAAATCCTCAATTCTCAATAACTCAAATATAATTTAAAGCATTGAAAATCAATTCCTTTTTATCCAATTTCCTCTCCTAAGTATGTGCACAACCCCCCCTCCCCTAAAGTTAGTATCTTTATGTAAAAAGGCTATCCTTGAGGAAATATTATGCCATACAAAGCCCATACTCTTATTAACCAAATCCGCATAGTGGGATTACATACATAACATGCTTGTAAAACTTTAAATAATAATTCAACAATTCCTCTTTAAAAATCCTCCTGTAATTCAATAATAAAATTCCAATTAACAAGTCCCTTTTTTTTAATTCAATACCTTTTAAAACCAATTCCTCTAATCATTAATAAACTTAAGTCATTAAAACATGATATTAAAATCAATCCTTCAAACATATTTATTTCATCAAACCTGGTATTCAATTTAATTCATAACATTCATTTAAATTCAATTCACATAATATATGTTGATCAATTCAAACACTTTAAAAATATATCTAGCCATCTAAACGTACCTTAATCCTTGTTTAGCATAATTCAACACTTAGAACTCAAGAAGATTCACCGAAAACACTGTACAAATACATATCAATAAAACACAACATTAATAAATGAAAATCCCAACTATATGTCATGAACTAATTAAATTCTTTTTATTAATTCTCAAATTAATTTTTGGTTTTTATTTAATTAAATTATAAAGAATAATTATTTTATAAAACCATAATAATAATATTAATAATGAGAATTAAACAAGAAGAGAAGAAGAGAAGGAAAACCAAAAGGAAAAAGAAGGGGGAGAGGTGCGATGGTTGGAAGTAGCACTCTGTTCGGTGGATGGCGGTTAGGACCGTTCAGAGTAGGTGATAGTCGCTGGTGGGAGGTGGTGGCCGGCGCAAAAATCAAGGGAGAGGGATGAGGAAATTAAACCGTTACAAAAATAAGAGAAAGAAGAGAGAAATTTGTGAGTTTTTGTGTGTATTTTTGCATTGGAACGAGGGGGTATTTATTGGTTTAAGAGTGTAGGAATTTAGAAAAATAAGTGTAGAAGAAATATAAAAGTTTTGAGTTATGGAATTGCTTAGAGAGTAAAACTAGAGTTTAAGGAAAATATGAAATTGATGATTAAGCAACATATGAAATATGGAAAGTATTAGTTTCATGGTTGATCATGAAATTGAAGAAGGTAAGAATAGGTTGCTTGGAGAATACTTTTAAGACAAATAAGATCAAAACATCTATGATCATATATTTCTTATATTTGAGTAGGAAAATAATAGAAATTAAGGCAAGATATTTAATTTGAAAAATCTAACAATAATCAATTTAATTAATTAAGCTTGGTTGTTGGCTGAAAATTTTGAGCATTATAATGCTCAATATTTTCGAACATATTAAGCCAATAGGATCAATTTTTTTCTTTAGGAAATACAAAATTATTCTGTAAATAATTCGGTATCTGTAGAAAATAACTAATTAGAGGTTCTTAATTACATTAACCAAATTAACTACTCAAAATCAGATTTTCTTTACTTAGAAAATCCGAAAATTTATGAGCTAATTAGTTTTAGGACTTTTGAAACTAATTAAAATTAAAAGGAAATAAATTTGAATAATTAAATTATCCGAAAATATACCTATATTTTTTGTTTTATTTAGATAATTAAATGGGAAGTTAATCTTATCCAAAATCCAAAATAGTAATTAAGTTTGAAAATAGTTTTGGCCCCATAATTCAAATATCATTTTGGTTCCAAATTCAAATAAACATTAAATTACCGAAATACCCTTTTTAGAAATTAATTAATAATTAATTAGAAAATACTTCTCAAAAATACGGGGGATTACATGATTGTATCTTCTTAACCCAAATCTGATGATGTGTGACTTTTCAATGCCAATTTGGTCGAGTTACATATCGGATAAGAGAATTTCTTGAAATCTATTCATAGCCCACACATTTTCATTTTAATCCACTTAATTTAGTCCATTTCAGGCACAAAGCTTCATTATAAGCCCAAACTCATGTTCAATTCTTTACATATTATTTTTTACCAAAGCCCAATTCACTTAAAACAAACCCTAACCCTACTCCGAGCCTTTAATTGGAAAAGTTCGAAATGAGTAAATGCGTAAAAAAGGCCCACTAACATGTCACGTTAATTCGCTTTTTTTAGCGAATATTCTTCAGGCTCCTTTTCAATATGTTTGAAGGATTTTGCAACATGTTGGCAGTTAATTTTTCTCGAAAAACTCGCAAGAAGTCATAATTGATATTTTACCCTCAGCAAGTATCTCTTATGTATTTTCAACATTTTTCTTCTATGGCAAACACCTATATAGTCAAGTGCACTTGGCTTAAAGGTTTCGATATCAACTCCTTATCTTTAATTGTACGCAATAAAAAACATCTATCAACACATTTTCTTCTGTTCGGAGGCCATCAAATAAGAACTTGAGGCAATCAAAGACAACATATTTTTAAGGTTAACTTTCCGAGTAGCGGAAATTTATCATACAACAGCTTGTAATTTTCCCGAGGAGCGAAAGATTACTATTTATCAACATTACAAGCTTCACGATGCGCAAAGGTTTGTAATCTTATATCATTCATCTGACAATTCTTTCGAGGAACGACGAGTTGTCAACTACTTCTTTTCGAGGCACAAAAGTTTACATCAAATGTCCTGAGGAGCAAAATTCCCGAGGTGCGTAAGATCACTTTTGTGAGTTGCTCGAGGCGTAGGTGCTCAGGATATGTTTCTTGAGGCGAAGAAAGCTATCATCCACCATTTGATATTCTTCCCAATGCATGGAGGTGTTTCGAGTTGTCAACTACTTCTTTTCGAGGCACAAGAGTCTACAACATGTTTCCCAAGAAGCCAAAAATTGTCACAGTCACATTCAGTGATGGAGAAATTCACACTAGATTTCTCGAGGCATAGAAAGCCAAAAATCGGGTCTGTTAAGCCAAAAATCGGTTTGACTCAAAAGGTTTAACTTTAAGAAGGTTTGACTAGGAAGAGTATGAAGA